ATGATCTCTCTCCTTTCTCAGATGTTCTCTTCCTCATCCTATGCTTTCCTCTTTCTATCGATATTATCTTCTTCGCTTTCCTTTATCTTCCTCGACTTCTCATTATTTACCTACCTCTTCTTCTTCTTCTTCTTCTTCTTCTTCTTCTTAATCATCATCATCATCGTCGTCATCATCATATTCACCTCTCTTTCTTTTTTGCAGTAGTCATTATATTTTGTCTTTATCTTCTTATTCTTCACGATCATCATCACCACCACCATCATCATCACCATAGCCTTACATTCTTGTAATAATTATTTTTCTTCTTTCTCTTCCTTTTTCTTCTTCTTCTTCTTCTTCTTCATCATCATCATCTTCATCATCATCATCATCATCTTTACATTCCTTTCTTTTTTGCTAAACCTTTATTTCTTCTTCTTTTCTTTTTCTTCACCATTGTAATCATTATCACATCACCTTTCTTCCTTCATTTTCTTTCTTTCTTTCTTGTAATTATTATCTTTCTTGTTTCTTTTTCTCCTTCTTCAACATCACCTTTCTTTCTGTTTTTTCTAAAATCATTGTTCTTCTTCATCATCATCATCATCGCCATCACCTTTCATCTTTCTTTCTTTCTTTCTTTCTTTCTTTCTTCGTTGTAATCATTTTCTTTTTTTCTTTTCTTTTTCTTCTTCATCGCCATTATCATCATCATCATCATCCTTCCTTCCTTCCTTCCTTCCTTCCTTCCTTTCTTCCTTCCTTTCTTTCTTTTTTGTTGTAATTAACTTTCTTCACCATCATCACGATTATCTTTCTTTTTTCACTTTTTCTTTTTCGTCTTCATTCATAGTGAGGCGCTTCTTTCGCTTTTATCTTCTTTCTTTTCTTTACATATCCTTCTATCATTATTTCTTCTTTCTTTCTTTTTTCTTCATAATCGTCTTTCTTCTTGTTTCTTCTTCTTCTTTTTCTTCTAGCTGCTCATCTTAAAATCTCCTTCCTTTTCTTCTTCGTACGTTCCTCCTCTGCCTCCTTCACGTCCCACTCCCTCTTCTTTCCCTCTTCCTACTCCGACTTTTTCATTTTCGCTTATTTCTTACTTTTCTCCCCTTCTTTAACAATTTCCTTTCTCTACTCACATTTCTTCTTCTTCTTCTTCTTCTTCTTCTTCTTCTTCCATTCTCCTTTTCTTCGTTTCATCTTGAAAAATAAAAGCGGAATTAAAAGAAGCAGCAAAAATAAATAACAATTGGAAAGGAAATCAAATACAGCGAGAATATTTATTTTTTAAATAATACAAAAGAATTCCTTGGCAACAGGTGTAGGAACGAAAGTGAGTAAAAAAATTTAAGCACTGTTGCATGATGGCAATTATTTCTCTTCGTTACAATTTGGTGCGTTCGCAATTTGAATTCATCTAAAAGATGACACCGACAAAAATCAAACTCTATTCTAGTTCTTTACATACTAATGCAGATGTCCCCCACGGTTCCATTTTTGGTCCTACTTTATTTTGCTTTTCATTAATGACTTTCCCAATGGCATCTGCTCTCAACTTGGTATCCACGCTGACGACACAATCATTTACTTCTCTCTTGATAGTAAGCTTGATCAGTTTGACAAGGTGAAAATGGCCGCTGATGTCCAAAACGACCTCCAGTCTGTTGTTAATTGGGGCAATGAACGGCTTGCTAATTTTAACGCCTCTAATACTAAACTGCTATCCATTAGTCATTTGAGAGACCCCTTCCATCAGCATGGCTGATGCTAATATTCTTAGCTGACATGAAGTGGGAAAACCATATTCCAAGGTCAGCTTTTAAGAAAGTTGGTTCACTGTGTCGTACTAGACATTTTTTTTTCTTTACAGAGTCTATCTTTGTTATGGGATCTTACCCATAATAATAATAATGAACTATTCCATACTTAATAAATACTGCGACTCAGCAGTAGTTCAAGTCGAGTCAGTAGTTCAAGTCGAGTCAAGAGTCGAGTCAGAGGCAGTTCGAAACAGAGTCGCGTTCAGACAATTACTGCAAGGCATTGGAATAGTGATACTGGTCGAGACTACATTGTTCTCTCTACTAAACCTGATTGCTCATACTAACACTTCTACTTCTCTGTATATATTCCTGTTGTAATATATCGGTGTTATTCCATACCTGTGTTCGAGTTCTTCTTTATTGGTTCTACCTTGGACTATCATCGTGGTACAAGGAACCGGACCATAACAATCTTATATATCTATAAGTCTACCATTCGTCCATGCTTAGAATATTTCTGACATAAATGGTCCGGTGTTCCTTCTAGCTCCTGCTCTCCACAATTTTTCTCACTGGTGATGTTAATGATTTACACAAGCTCATTAGGCAGGTTACTTGCTGTTTGCGTTCATTGGTAAAATACCTTCCGTTAATGTTATTAAAGGATCGGAATATTTCCTGAATAAACTGTAAGATCAAATTGCATCGCCGATAAATATATCTACTCACATTTTTATATTCCTTCCTCGTAGGTGATTAGAGTCTGTATAGATTTACTAACGTCTGATCGGTCTGCATAACTGATATTTTATATTCCTTATTCATAGGTGATTAGAGTCTGCGCAGAGTTACTAGCGTCTGATCGGACTGATATCGCGATGTCAAAAATACATTTCCCTCATAAAAAAATGCCATATGACAGGTGAAACTCAAGTAATCAAATGCCCAGAAGCATCTTTTAAACTTTTTTTTCTGCTGATTAAGAGAGTGATGGGCTCTGCTGATGACATAGGTATTCATAGTTGTAATAAAAATGATATTGAACACAAAATGAACATCCTCTACCAAGTGTTCAAAGAAATAGAACTCAAATAAAACTTTCGAAAACAGAATCTGGGATTGGAATAAAAAGCTGAATATGGAATTAGTAAATACTAAACACTTCATTGTATGGATCAGTTATAACAAATTTAGTATAGGTGACAAAGAACTTACGCATAGAATAGGCAGAGATTTCGATAGTTTTGCCCAACAACGCAAATTGCTACTAAACCAAAACATTAACCAAAAGAGTCGAATCAGGTTTTGAAATAGCTTCGTCAGATCGAGACTTTCATGCGGATGTCATGCATTGTGTCAAACTCGTCTAAAAATATCTAAACTGTCAGCTGTATACAACCGCTTTCTCGGATCAATAGCCACCATCTGGCTAAGACTATAAACTACATCTGAGTCCTGGATAAGAAAATAAACTACATCCGCGTCCTGGGTAAGACTGTAAACCATATCCGCTTCCTGGGTAAGACTATAAACTACATCCGCGCCCTGGATAAGACAATAAACTACATCCGCGTCCTGGGTAAGACTGTAAACCATATCCGCGTCCTGGGTAAGACTATAAAATACATCCGCGTCCTGGATAAGACAATAAACTACATCCGCGTCCTGGGTAACACTGTAAACTACATCCGCGTCCTGGATAAGACAATAAACTACATCCGCGCCCTGGATAAGACAATAAACTACATCCGCGTCCTGGGTAAGACTGTAAACCATATCCGCGTCCTGGGTAAGACTATAAGCTACATCCGCGTCTTGGATAAGACAATAAACTACATCCGCGTCCTGGGTAAGACTGTAAACCATATCCGCGTCCTGGGTAAGACTATAAACTACATCCGCGTCCTGGATAAGACAATAAACAACATACGCGTCCTGGGTAAGACTGTAAACCATATTCGGGCCCTGGGTAAGACTATAAGCTACATCCGCGTCCTAAGTAAGACAATAAACTACATGCGCCTCCTAGGTAAGACGATAAACTTCATCCGCGTCCTGGGTAAGACGATAAAATTCATCCGCGTCCTGGGTAAGACGATAAAATACATCCGCTTCCTGGGTAAGAGGATAAACTGCATCTGCGTTCTGGATAAGACTGTAAACTACACCCGCGTCCTGAATAAAACTGTAAACTACATCCACATCCTGGGTAAGACGATAAACTACATCCGACAGCAAAGCGTCTGGAGGTTTTGAGGAGCGTGCAACCACCTCTTAATTGCTGGTGTTCTCAAGTCCACACTGACCCGGCGTGGCAGCACTTGTTAGGGTTCCAGTTATGTGCAAATACCTGGCCCCAAACAGGGGTCAAAACTCTATGAAAGTGTAAAAATAGGTTTTAATACCAACAATACAGTTTTGTAAAAAATTTTTACCGGCAATGAATTTTGAAGAAAAAAATTATTACCAGCAAAACATTTCTGAAAAAAAATTACCAGCAATACATTTCTAAAGGCCAAAAAAAAAAAATTTTACCAGCAATACATTTTTATCTTTGGAAAAATATGGCCAACAATAAATTTTATCAGTGCCGTAAAACAAACAAACAAACAAACAAAAACATTTGATAGATGAAAAAAAAAAAAAATAAATTTAAATAACCCATTGGGGTTGATATGCAGTAAAAAAATACAAAAAAAAACAATATATACTGAGATAGATAGATTTAGATTTGAAAAATAATGTACAGACATCAATACATCTTTGGAATGAAAAAAAAATATGGCCAGCAATAAATATAGATAAATGAATTGATGAATGAATAGATAGCTAGATTAGATGAAATAGGAACAGACTAAGATAGATAGATAGATAGATGATGTAGATAGATAGATAGATAGATAGATGAATAGATGATGAATGAATAGGAACAGACTGACACAAAACAAACAAACAAACAAAAACATTAGATAGATAGATAGATAGATAGATATTACCAGCAATAAATATCTTGTCGGCATTAAATAACCCATCGTTTTGGCGTCCATGGCAACCCAAGATGCTCTTGAGACCAACATTCGATATCATAGGGATCATATGTATATGAGAGATCAAATCTGGATCCTTGATAGGGCTGATTGGATCTGCTTGACCTACAACTCTCTTATGTGCCTTTTCAGTCCAAATGATCAGCAAACCTTGTTGCAAACAATACAGTTATTGTTGGCAGGACGATGAGGCAGTGTTTCGCAGATTACGCTTGATCTGAGCAGGCCTGAGACATTCATCCTCAAAGATATTACATCTCTCCCTTATAAAATGCCTCCACTTTGTATGATTTAAAGTCAGTTCTTCTTATCGGTGCACAGTAATTAATTTTGAATGGAGACTTTGGTAAACTCTATCTTGTGTCTAAGATTTTTAACTATTGTATCAACTGTCTTCTTCATTTAACCCTGATGGCTATTTTTAAACAAAAGCTAAGCGCTTCCAATTTGGCAATGCATAGATTTATATCCAATAGATTTTCTATTATATCTAGTCACCCCATTTATTTCCATATACATATATACATAGTGATTGTCCCATCTTACTCAGATGAGAACCGCCTCTTCCCCCTTCGCATCACTTGAGATGGCTTCCATCTGATTTTGTCATCCATGGTCCCTAAGATGACTTCAGGCCAGCATTCTATTTCAGATGACAGATAAACCCTGTATCCTTGATTGGATCTGCGTGGCCTACAACTCTTCGACCATATGCATCCTCACTCCAGATGATGATCTGGAAACCGTGTTGCAAATAACACAGTTATTGTTGGCAGGACGATGAGGCACGTTGGCAGAGTTGCTTTGCTTCTGGTTGTTATGATGGCCTTTCAGATTGTTTACATAACCTTCCCTCGACAACAGCTTGCGTTCACACATACTACATCTCCAAGACTGCATATTAGGTAGCAAATCAGAGTGAGTGTCTCTTCGAATTGATTACATTACAGAAACCTTCTTTCGATTTTGTCAAGAATCTCGAGAAATACAACAGGAGCCCCAGATCAGATATGGCAACAGTACTGAATACACGGGCGAATAGTAGATTTATAAATGTGCAAGATAGACGAGAATTTTTCTTTTGGCACGACACAGTGACCCAACTTTCCTTGCAGTAGATGTAGCTATTGACTCGATATAGTCGCTACACTTCATATCAAGGGAAAACGTGAGGACAAGAACGCGTAAAATGTTGCTGGAGTTCAACATCAGCCATGTTGATGGCAGGCAGAAAAGCTTCTCTGCGGTGATTAAATGAAGGTAGTTTTGTTTTAAAGGCATTAAAATTTACGAGCCATTTCTTGCTCCAGTTAATCACTGATTGGGAGTTCTTTTCAACAGTAGTTGCCAGGTTTACTTTGTCGGCTCTGTTTATAATAGATAATGATCTTGATGGTCGTAATTAAGCAAAGACCGTTCAGTAATTAATAAAACGGCGAAAGTTAAGCCTAATGAATGTCTTGGGTTCCAAAGCTGCAAACCGTTTTTCTCCTTGGGCTCTAGGAAGAAAAAGAAAATAATTCTCAAGAATGAAAAAGAAAATCCATTTTTGATTCTTTCTTACAGCTATTTAAAAATGAAATCACCCGAAATCTTCAATTTAGTTAGAGGAGAAAAAGTAAAAAATGTAGGGAAGAGAAAGGAGAAAAAAAGAAGAATTGGAAGAGACAAGGGAAATAAAAGAAAAAAGAAAATGAAAGAAAGTATAAAAAGTTAGAGAAAAATTAAGGAAAAAGAAGAAAAAGAGAGAAAACAAAAAAGAAAAAGACAGAAAAGTGGGAAAAGGAAAAGGATAAAATAAAATAAAGAAAATAAAGAAAAGAAAAGAGAAAAAAGAAAACGAGTGAAAGAAAAAAGACAAGATAAATTAAAAAATGGAACTGAAAAGGAAAGACGAAAAAATAGAGAAATAAATAAAACAAAATAATTAAAAGAGAAAAAGGAAAGAGAAATGTGAAATCAAGGAAAAAGACAAAAAGAAAAAAGAATATGGCAAGGAGAAAAAAAAGAGAAAATGAAAAGAAAACGAGAAAATCAAAGAAAATAATAAAAGACAAGATAAGAAGAAAAGAAAGAAAAATGAAAAAGAAGAGAAAAAGAAAGAAAAAGTGACAAAGAAAAAAAGAAAGAAAACTGATTTAATGAAAAAAGGAGAGGAATTAAGAGAAACGGAAAATAAAACAAAAAAGAAGAGAAAAAGAAAGAACAATGAAAAAAGAAAAAGGAAGTTAAGAAAATGAAAAAAGAAAGAGAAAAAGTAAAGAGTAATAAATAAAAAAAAGAAGTGATATTTTCTGGTTGCAATTCAAGAATCATCCTAAGCTCGACCAAAACTGATAATTAAAACGTATAGATCACTCTCACTGAAGCACGCAAAATAAATTAGCTAAACAATCCGAGGACACTTTGCACCAACTTAAAAAAAGGTAAAGAAAATATTGTTTGCCGAACCACTCTTATTTTCACATACTTTCTCTTTATCTCTTTCTTCCCATCTCTCTTTCTCATTCTTTCTTTTTTTATCTCTTTATCTATCTATCTATCTATCTTAGCTAAGTGATAAAATTTATTTTTTATTATATATATATATATATATATATATATATATATATATCCAGGTACGATGAAAACGGATAGAGTACTCGCCAGTAATTTACAATCGTCTGAGGAGGCGCATTGTTATGCGTTGAATCCTGCCAGAGGGTGCATATTTTTCTATTAAGATTTCTTGAATATTTCTGCGGGAGGCGAAAATAAATATACAGTTTAATAAATAAACGGAGCGTCTACTCAAATACGAGTATCCACTAAAAATAACGTTTAAGTTATAAATATCTGTCTGATTCATAAAAAAAAACATTCCATAAATACAAGGTGTCCACAAAGTTCGTGTGCACTTAAAAAAAAAAGTTCGTGTGCACTTTATTTGTATTTGCGATAGAAATAATTTGTAAAAAGGATTAGAAAGAAGTAAATCTATATGTTTTTAAGGTTTTATTGAAATTTTATTTAAGTTTCCACATGTCCTCCATCATTAGCAATACAAAGGGTAATACGATTTTGCAGTTCACGGAAAACATTTGCCAACTGATTTACAGTAATGCCTGAAATCACATTAGTTATTTTAGCTATACTTAAAACTAGGTACATTAAACTTTATAACATTTTTTACAGATTATTTCTATCGCAAATATAAATAAAGTTATAAATTTTTAAAGTGCACACGAACTTTATGGACACCCTGTATATATATATAGGGTACAGCAGAAATGTCTCACACCTTTTAAACTGTCACCTGCATTGTGCTAGTGAACTCAATTAAGTGGTGTCTTCATCTAGCTAATGTTTTACCATTTGTTTTCAGATACCATCAGTTACCATCATGGCTTGGACAAGTGGATAGATACCGTGTGGTTGCTGTTGAAACCTTTTCTTAAAACTAGTGAATCTGTAGTTGCAACACGCCGAGCCCTTCGTGGCCATTTTATGTTACGTCGGAATGAAAAAAAAATCGATACTGCTATGGGTTGAAATTTTCAGGGTCATAGGTTAAGCGCTTAAAAGAAAAACACCTGGAAACCCTCGAACATCCGAGTGATACTTTAGAAATCCCCAGAAACAATATATGATGAATAGAGGTCACCATTTGGAGGATGTCATTTTTAAAACCAAATGAATTAAAACTGTATAGGTTGAAAAAAAAAAAAAAAAACACTCTAACCTTTTGTGAAATAATTGTTAGTAGATGTAACCTTGGTTTTTTTGACAAAGTAAAATGTATGTGTGATGGGGTATTTTCTGATCCATCCTTTATTATATATATATATATATATATATATATATATATATATATATATATATATATATATATATATATATATATATATATATATATATATATATATATATTTTGTCGGTACAAAATTTAATCACAGAAATAAACTGTGAAGCTTAATATTACTAGACATATTAAAAACGAAATAAACTGGTTTCGTATATCTTCAGATTCCATATAGGAGATTTAACTTAAATTAAAAAACACTAGAAAATATGCAATGAAAAGCGTAAATGTTTGTTGGGACTCGCTGTTATTTGTCGCTAGCTCCGTGTGTTCATTTTTTTCCTCCCCATTTCCTTTTCATTGCACATTTTCTAGTGTTTTTTTAATTTAAGTTAAATCTCCCGTCGACTGGGGCTCCAAAATACACCGACTGCACATCTCCAGAGGGGAAGTCCCCCCATACACCCGCAATGGAGTGTCCTGGATATGACGATAAACTATGTCCGACAGAAAGGTCTCTGATCAGGAGGCTTTGAGGAGCGTGAAACCACATCTTAATTGTTGGTGTTCCCAATTTCACCCTGACCTGGGGTTGTAGCACCTGTTAGGGACCAAGCTATGGGCAAATAGTCCCCAAACTGGGATCAAAACACTATGAAAGTGTAAAAGTTTTTTTTAATACCAGCAATACATTTTTGGAAAAAAATATTACCAGCTATACATTATTATTAACAGAACATTTTTGAAAAAATATTAACATCAATAAAAATCTTGTTCTTATTAAATGACCCATTGAGGGTGATATACCGTGAAACAAAACAAACCAAAACCAAACAAAGTATAGAAACAGTTTGAAATACTAAATTCTTAAATACCAACTTCACTTTTACATGGTAAACTCTTAAATACCAGCTTCGCTTTTAAATAGTAAGCTCTTAAATAACGGCTTCACTTTTAAATTGTAAGTTCCTAGAAAAACATGTGACACCATAAAAGGAGATTTACAAATGAAAGGGATTAATGTCAACTCCTCAACGGTCAGGCGTAGGCTTCTGGTTGTTGGACGTAAGGCAAGGTGACCCGTGAAAAAGCAAACATCTGACGAAACCTATGAAGGAAAAACGCTACAAATGGAGACTGAAATACAAAAATTGGACGAAAAATAATGGAGAAAAGTTATTTTCAGTGACGAGACTTTTTTTTTCGTTCAAGGACAAAGAAGCCAGCATGTTTGTAGATCAACTGGCAACAAACTTCGAGAGTATCACATAAACAATTCGTAAAACATCCCTTGAAAAAGATGTTTTGGGGTTGCTTTAGTTACTACGGAGTTGGGGGTTTGCATGTCGTTGAAAGCATGATGGGAGGACCACAGTACATCTAATTTCTCTGAAGAGTCGTTCCAGAGCTGAATAAGAGGTTTCCTGATGGATCCAGTATTTTTCAAGAAGATCTGGTCCCGTTCCATACCTAAAAACTTATGAAGAGATTTTTTAACAGTGAGCAAATCAAAATACTAGACTGGACTGAAAACTCTCCTGATTTAAATCCAGTCGAGAATCTGTGGTCAATCTGCAAGGAACGACTTTATGGAATGGACTGTACGATGAAAGAGAAGCCTGTGACAGCCATTATAGACGTGTGGAACCGTGACCTCAAAATCAATGAGGAATGCTCCAAATTAGTGGATTCCATGCCAAATCGCATCAAAGAGCTTCTAAAAAATAAATGCGGACATACGAAGTACTAACATGTGCATTGGGTCATGTTACATTCGGAAAATACGAAAAAAATAAATAATAACAGAATTCACTTTGTTTCAATTAATTTGCACAAAGGTGTACGTGTTGAGAGCTTGCGTACAAATGATCTCGAAAAACAATCAACATTCTTTAGCAGGTATCCCGAGAATTATGTCCTAAGATAAACCTAACGGATAAAGAAATTGAATATAGGATATACTTCATCCGGCGTTGTTTCGACCAACACCGCGAGTTTCTACAGTACCAACATCTTAAGCTTAGAACTAATCATATTCTGAAATAACCTCGTCAGATCGAGATTTTCATATGGATTTCATGCATGATACCAAACCCGTCCAGTAATCTCTAAACAGCCGATTGTATACAACCGCTTTCTCAGATCTATTTTAAAAAGCTTCGAGTGATTGAAACCTGTAGGTCTTAGCGAGGACTATCATTCATAGAACGTCGTACCCGTGCTACAGATCGTCCTGGGTATGACGATAAACTGCATCCGCGTCCTGGGTATGACGATAAACTACGTCCAACAGTAAGGCCTCTGATCAGGAGGTTTTGAGGTGTGTGGAACCACCTCTTAATTGCTAGTGTTCCCACGTCCACCCTGACCTGGGGTGGTAGCACCTGTTAGGTTCCTAGTTATGGATAAATACTGAATCCCCAAACTGAGGTCAAAACTCTATGAAAGTGTAAAAATAGGTTTAATACCAGAAATACTTTGTAAAAAAATTATTACCAGCAATAAATATTTGAAGAAAAATAATTACCAACAATACATTATTGTAGCACCATTTACCAAGGCAAAAAGAAAAGAAAGGAAAAAGAGAAAGGAAAGAAAGGAAAAGAGAGGCGAGACTTAAGCGTAGATGATAAAAAAACCACCCACGACCAGGGGCCTTGACAATGTTATTTTGATAAGTAGCAAATGGCGAAAAGGTGTCATTACCATTCTAAGTGGATAAAGGAATCGACTATGTTCTGGCGACGAACTTGTGTTATCGGGGATAGATAACAGCCGCTTAATGCGGGCAAACATCTAATTAGCAAACCACAGACCGACTAGCTAAGAAAACTCTAATTGATAATGTTATTTTGATAATTGACAAAGAACAGGTGAAATACAGGGCTTTGGATAGATAAGAAAAATTAACTGTGTCTTCTGCTAAGCCGCACACGAAACCAACTCTGAGTAACGACTGACCGTTTTTTGACAAGACATCTTCGGTTGTGATAACAAAACTATGTTATCAGAAATTGGCACCAAAGAATGACTAGAACAATGGAACTGTTTTTTCGAGACGACGGTCGACTGTGTTTTGCTGGACGACCACCCATTCTGATAATTAGCGAAAATCTGACTGACGAAGTTCAGATGAAGAATTGAGGTTATCACAGTACTGGTCGCATTGTTCTGTTGGCGGCCAGAGAAAATGAGAGCTGCGATTAAGGAAAGAAAAGAAAAGGAAAAAAGATTTTTTTTTTTTTGAGCAAGATATATTTTTTTTCCTGAAACAAAGCCCGCTGGATCACACGCCTGGCTGGACATCATTGGCCGAGTGGTGATCACGTGACGCAAGGAGGGAAGCCCGCCGCCGCCCACTTAGAGGATGGGTATGGGAGGTTGCTACAAAGAAGTGGGGGAGTACAGTTGACGCCCCTCTGAAGTATGGTGAGAAGGTGGGAGTAAGAGAAGACTTTAAAAATGGAAAGAAGTGGAAAATTCTAACCAAAAAAAAAGAAGTGGATATGTATTTAGAATTATCGAGGAACCTCCAACGCCGACAAACCCACCCTGGTTTTGGTCGGCGTCCATATAAGCAAAGTCGCAGCGAGCAGAAATCAGTTGAGTAGAGTTTCCCGGAGAGTTTCCCGGAGAGTTTCCCGGAGAGTTCAGCAGAGGAGAGTGTTCAGTTGAAGCAGGCCTCGCAGCTGACTAAGATTCGCGCAACTTCCGAACTCGTCTTCAATCCAAGAACAATTTATTTTGAAGAGCGACTTAGATCCATACCACCAAAATAAGTTTTTCGACTTTCGCCTGAAGACACACCAAGAACCAATTTCTTAAAGAACAGACAACTTAAAGTGTTAAAACTCGCCTAACAAAAAAAAAACAACGTGTCACAATCCATATAACGGGTCGGGAGATAGACGCAGTCCTATGTATCCAGCAACTAGACATAAAGTATTGTTATCCTTTTCTTGATACCTTGAACTTTTGAGTTATCATTTTATTTCTTTTATACATATTTGTGCGATACCACCCTCGCTTGAACCCAGTTTGCATTACGGCCCTAACGACTGATTGATTTCGTCTGCCTAAGATCAATTCACAACGTGGGTAGGCAGACTGAAGATCAACACAGTTACTTTGGTAACCAGACGTTGGAAGCGAGTTGGGAACGACGAGGCTGATATCGAATCTAACCAGATTCCCATCCGAATCACCAAAAGGTTAGAACGTCACATTTGGGTGCCGCGACCGATACCAAGCCAGTTGGTCGTCACAGGACGGGACAACACGACTGACGCGACAGGCGGACGTCACGTTTGGAGCGGCGACACCCGAACGAAGCAGCGAGGAGCGAGCAAAGGCTGTGTTTAGGGACGTCACGTTATTACCAGCAATACATTTTTGAAAAAAAAAAATTACCAGCAATATGAATCTTGTCGGCATTAAATAACCCGTTGAGGTTGATATGCCATAAAACAAACCAAACGAAACCAAAAACCCGTGGTACAGAATCCCAAAGAACGAACTATCATATAGCAGAAACCGCATCACTCGTGGACATTCAATAAGAACAACTAAAATGGATAGTATATGTAATTAGATGAGAAAATAATATAATCGACACTTCTACCAACAAAAGCTTAGGAAGGAAGCTCCCGTCAGTACTTGAAGGAGCTATAATAGTTACTCGATTTCAACTGGAATTGATGCTGGCTGTTCGGTCTGTGAATACCAGATATTTCCGCATTAATAAACGACTAATACTATTATTACTATTTATCAATAGTAAAGAGACAGAGAGAGAGAGAGAAAGGGTGTGATCAGATCAGCTAGCTAGCTAACATTACCATGTGGGGCTTGTCTCTCTGCTGAAACTATGTCACATCAAGGAATCTGGAACAAGATGTCAGCGCTCTACACTACTGCCTGTTATCACACGTCTTTCGGTCTTATGTGAATGGTAATCCACCACTATCAGGATTCCACACCCACGGGGTTCAAACCACCACTATTGAGTTAGGGATATCAAAGTTTTGATCAGTTCAGTAGGTTTTTCAATTTTTTCTGTGAACACCACAAATAAAATCATATTATAGAAAAATAACTAATAAAAAATTTTACAATCAAATCCTCTATACAAGATCAATGTTGTTTACAAGTTGCAAAAACAAAATAAACATCTTACATAGGATATACCATCACAACTCTTTCCTGTTTACTAACTTGTCATAAATTACTATACAGTCACACGTGATACAAAAAAAAAATTAAAGTTGTAATAATAGAAGACAACTCCTTGCGAATAACACAATAATGCTCAACAAAATTGTAAACAGAGATGAAATTTTTTCGAAGCTATTCATAAGTCGGGACAAGGAATAAATTAGCAATATCAGATATGAATCTTCGACAGACTTTCTAAAAAGTATTAAAATTCTCAACATGAATACTTCGTCATGTCGACACAACAGTACAAAGGTTTAAAACTAAAATCACAAATTTTGACATCACAAACATGAAAGAAATGTCAATATCTCCAACAACAAGCTTGTAACTTTACATCATCGCCAAGTTTAGCCAGAATAGATAGATATGAACAGAGATAGATAGATAGATAGATAGATAGATAGATAGATAGATAGATATGAAAAGACTGAGATAATATATATATATATATATATATATATATATATATATATATATATATATACACAGATAGATAGTTATGAAAAGTCTGAGATAATGTATATATATATATATATATATATATAGAGAGAGAGATAGATAGAGAGATAGATAGATAGATAGATAGATAGATAGATATAAACAGACTGTTATTGATAAAAAGATATGAACAGACTGAGATAGATAGATAGAAAAACATTGACAGTCAGCAAGCTAGCTAGCTAACTGTATATATATATATATATATATATATATATATATATATATAAAGAGAGAGAGAAAGAAAAGAAAACTTTCATAGCAAAAACAGATATAGTGTAGATTGATACAAACAGATCGAGGGAGGCGAACAGATATATATATATATATCTCTCTCTCTCTATATATATATATATATATATATATATATATATATATATATATATATATATATATATATATATATATATAGAGAGAGAGAGAGAGAGAGAGAGATTGATAGATACATGCATCGATAGATAGAAAAAACTTTGATATATATAGAGAGAGAGAGAGACACAGAAAGGGACGGGGAATTCTGATAGAGAGATAAAACAATAGATAGAAAAAGTTTGATAGATAGATAGATAGATAGATAGATAGATAGATAGATAGATAGATATGAAAAGACTGATATATATATATAGAGAGAGAGAGAAAGAGAGAGAGTGGGGGGAGGTGACAGTCGGAGACAGAAAGGGACCTAATGAAAGTTACAAAATAAAATCGTAAAGGTAAGCGAGAACAAAAAAAAAATGAATCGTTTTTCTTCGCCGCAGCCATCATGGCATATACGTAAACTTATTGTTTTCCGCTAAGTGTCGAGATATTTTACGGAGAATTCTTCAGCGGTAAACAGAGAAGGAAAATGATAGAGAAAAAAAGAGAGCGTCTGTGGTGTTTGTATGCATGTGTGGTGTGCGTGTGTGCATGTTCCGAACAATGATGGTATCGCTTATGAGCGTATGTGCTCATGTGTTTGTTCTTTCCCTCCCCTTCTTTTCCTTTTGATTTGTTTTTCTTCTTCTTCTTCTTCTTCTTTAACATCTATCTCCGTGCGTTCGTCTTGCGGATGCTGGTGCATTCAAGTGTGTTCTCTTCTCACCGTGTCCCCGAGTCTGTGTTCACGGCGCTCTCATTTTAGAGAACAGACGAAAGAGCGAAATTCAATTTCTTATTTAACCACACCTGATTACTATGCACTAACCGTGGGCTAAAATAATAATAACCGTAAAATAATAATAATAATAATGATAATAATAATAATAATAATAATAAAAAGCAAAGAAAAACAGCAATAATGGAATCAAATAGTTAAAACTAAAAAGGGGAAAAAACACTTTCTTAGCCGCCATATTGTTTCAGTTTCCCATCCCAGCCTCCTCATTATTCTTTCGCCGTTTTGCGGTACGCATGCGCACAGAGAGCGCGGATGGGGGGAAAGTCGTCTGCTTATCGCGACGTACGCCGCCATATTTTGCTAATTTATTTGTTAGTGCTATCGAGCGTAGATTTTGACCGTGAGGCAAAATGGAGGCTACCTTTGCGTATGAGGTGCGCCAAGAATGTTACCAGGTACTGCCAGTGTGTATCTCTTCATACACTTTTACCCGTTTGTGCGTGTCTATGTATGTGTGTATGTGTGCACTGGAGGGAAAGAGTGCCTCGTTCTCCTTATACATTTAATAAACAGCTAATTTCATTCGAGAATTGCTATTTCTATCAACTTGGAAATTATCTTGCAAAAAATGATTTGTAAACATTTTTCTTTTCTTTCGTCTTTATTCTTATTTTATTTATTTTTCCAACAGTTACCGTACTTCTATATCTATTTTTTAAACTAAAGTTCACTCGATAGAATGCTCGAGAACCACTCAAGCTAGATTGATTGAGTGATTCGTTTTATACGGTTTTTCAATCTCTTGCAGGTCATTTAAAGCCAGAAAATATTTATAGACTAAAAGAATTTATGCCCTTGAAGATGATAATGATTTAGTGATACAAGTTTTACTAATTAACCCAAAGATGGGGAGAAGAGGTGGCTTTATACCTTTGCGCGTAAGTGAATGCAATGACTGCAAGTGAAACTGGAACTCAGATTAACAATTCCGAGTCATTATCCATTACACTACCTTCACATCCAAGCTTGTAGCATTCAGAGGTGACCCATCTACGTACTGATCAGGCTCGATGTTGCTTAACTTCTGTGATCGTACGGGAAGCGGTGATGTTGCCGTACGCCTTCAAGATGATGCGTGTGATATAGTGAGTTTCTAAGCGTAGTTTAGGTGTGGCAGAAGGCCGAAAGTATGGGGAACCCAGTAAGGATTGAACTCACTACTTAGGCGTAACTGATCTAGCGAGGCAAGCTTGCTGACCATTACACCACGGCGAAGTGTCTATGAATGAATTTCCGAGATGGTGGGAAGTGAAGATTATGATAATAAGAATGATAGATAAAGACTGACTTGATGTGGTTAGGATTTTAGTGTTCAGGAAAGCATTCATACGAGAGTCTGTTCCATAAAGAAGCAATTATTGGGAAAAAAAACTCTCTGAGTGAAGCTCTCTCCTTACATTTCGAGTACGAAAGATGTGGGTGTTTCGGCTCCATGGATGGGGCATACCGTGCCCTAGCTATAAATGTCTGAACTGGTGGAACTAATGAATGGAACTCATTTTCTATGAAAATAGCAACAGAGAAGCGATACATAATTTTTTTTCATCTGGGCCGAATCATATATATTCTTTTTTATGTGAGGTGTCCCTTCAGGGCGTTGTCGATTATAGCACTCCACAATTTCCTGTCATTTGTAGCTTTTAATAAACTTTGTCTTTTTGTTAACACTCCTAAACTATTTATAGCGATATCAATTGTCAGCCCATATCTTGTTAAGGATACATCTGCACGATGTTACATAAATCGTTTTAGTAATTGTCGTCTCGACAAAGAGGTTCATCTGAGTGAAGCAGACCTCCCAAGAAACAGGTCAACCGACCCTGACAAAGAAGGACAGATAAGAGGAATCAGAGGCTGGGTTCTTGATGAATTAATTTTTTAGATGATAGCTGACGAAGGCTTGGTCTCTATAAGACAGTGGTCTCTAGAAGCATAAACCAGAGAACCGCTCGCCCAGCGCAAGAAAAGGAAGGCACACACCGGTTAGTCTATTCGCCCCTTCCCCTTTTCTTCGCCCGCCTACGAGAAGGTTGCAGCTGAATAAAATTTGCCGTCTGTTACAATTTTGTCAAATGTTCTTTTTCTTGGGTAAAGTTCCGATCAGAGTATTATAATCCTTATGTTAAGCCATAAGCTCTCGACTAGAAGAAGCTGCGAACGAAATTGATATCCGCAACACTACACATTTAATCAAACTTATTTGTCTTCGTCTTCAATGTGCCGTGTCTCTTCAAGTTTTGGCGATCATGGCTCTCCACAATTTCCTTCCCTTTACAGCTCTTAATGAATAATGTCTTTTTGTTATCTCTCGTAAACATTGCTCCGTCATTCATTTATTCAATCTCGTTTTTCTTTTTCTACTATGTGACTTGTCTTTTCAGGCCGATCATGGCTCTCCACAATTTCTTGCCATTTGTAGCTTTTTAATAATTTTTGTCTTTTTGTTACTCTCCTAAACCTTATTACGCCATCCATTCACTCAAGCTCGCCAGGTAGGTTATACGCAGTCTTACTCTGTCTCTCTTTCCTTCAATATGTCCTGTGAGTATCAGATTTTCTGAGCCCTCTTTCCTCATTATGTATCCTGTGTTGGAATTTTTGGGAAGTACTAGTGAGCCAGCCAAAATGAGCTGACTCATTTTATAGTTCACCAATAGAAGGGTCAACCAATCAGAAGGCTCAAAATATTCAATGCGACGTGTATAAAGGCAGCCATGTTTTTTTTCCGAATATTCACTGTCAACCTCTGATATCGAAGACTGAAGAATTACTGAACAGCTGCTGCTGGGGGTATTGGCGATATAGTCAGATCCAGTAGAGTGTCTGACTTGTGAGTATTAATCTTTAACGTTGTTTTATTGAACAGATTACGTACTGCGCTGTATTCTATATTCATAGACTTGGCGAACGTGTTCAACATATCCTATAAATGTCAACTGCTTGTTTTTGATGTTAATTATAAATATCCTTTTTGTTTCAATTTTCTCTAAAACATTATTGTGGCTCACATGTTCGGTCCAGCATCTTTCTGTAGAAGCAAATTTCCGTTGCTGAAGTCTCTTCTTCATTTATGGGGAGATTGCCCAGCAATCACTGCTATATAGATGAATGATATTACATAACGGTTCAGTATTCTTTTGTTTGTTTCTAACGAAATTTTGCTGTTTCTTAATACTTTACTTAGATTTTGGAAGGCATCTTTCGTTATCCCAATGCGCCTTCGGGTATCAGTTACGTGTTAGAACGCTTCCCAAATATTTAAATTATTGTATTTGATTTCGGAATCACCAATTTGTAATTTACATGTTGGGATGTTCCATTTACTAACTATTATGTATTCTGTTTTCTTGCAATTAACCCTTAGTCATTTCTTCTTGCCTTCTTGACACTTAGTCCTTTCTTCTTGCCTTCTTGAGCCTTAGTCCTTTCTTCTTGCCTTTACTGCGTTCTTGAAGTTTACTTTTTGTGTCTGTTATCAAGAATAGTATAGGATATGCAAATGACGAAATAAACTACGAATATTAACACTTCGGTATAAAATAAGTATGGCAGGCCGATTCAGTAAATAATGCCTGACATTTTTCTTGATTTCCAATAAATTTCGAATCCTTGGTACTACCATAAACTACCTCCAATAGCAAGGCCTCTGATCGGGAGATTGTAGGTTTTGAGGAGCGTGGGATGACCTCCTAACTGCTGTTGTTCCTAGGTTCACCCTGACCCATCGTTGTATCATCTGCTAGGATTTCAGCTATGGACATAAAAGACCGACACTCCATGACCAGGAATATATTTTAACCGTAGTTGAAGGTATACAGTTGCGTCCATAAGCCATAAAATGTTAAAATTAATTAGATTTCGGCAATTAATAACACCCCTAAAAAAATCAACCAACCAACGTGACGTGAAACTCTTTCCATATCACTGCCTCTAGTAAATGTCCACACAAACATGTATAAGCTCAAAATCTGAGTATCATTTACCATGTATTCAATTGCGAAAGCGGAATAACGTATCATAGTTTTATTACTTGAAAGTTCCCAAGAGAATTAAATTTCAGCGTTAAATGACCCAAAAGGATTTGATATGCCGTTAAACAAATCAGCTATCTAACTAACAACAGTAATCGTGGCTAACAGCAAACCTAAAAAAAAAAAAAACAAATTTCCCCGGAAAAAGTCACAATTCATTTTTGTATTTCTCGTTTCGTTGAGAAAAGACAGAGGCGTGTCCGAAAATGGCGATTTTAACATCTTTCCCATCATGCTTCCATTTAGTCAAAAGGCCTATATATGTATGTGTGTGTGTGTCTGTGTCTCTGTGTGTGTGTGAGAGAGAGAGAGAGAGAGAGAGAGTGTGTGTGTGTGTGTTTGTAGACAATAAATATTAGTAATTTTTTAATCAATATTATTATTTTTCTTGTTTTCGCGAATTTCAATCACAGGCTTATTATATCGACATAATATAAGAAGCATACATGGATAATTTGACGTTACTATCATATATATATATATATATATATATATATAGATAGATAGATAGATAGATAGATAGATAGATAGATAATATTAGTGGTAAATATACACATACATATGCAAAATATATAAATATATATACATACATGCATATACATACATATATATTTTGTAAAAAAAAAATTCCAAGAGGATGGAATCCAGTTAGAACTCAATGTCCAGGACAGAGTAAGGATATAATAAAAAGGCTTAAACACTAATATTCCATGGTCATAATTTATTCCATTGGAATCGTAAATACGATCCAATTCATCAGACGTACAAATTCAAAAAGAAAACAGAAAAACAACTCCGTAAATAAAAAATAAAATTTAGAGAGAGTGTAAGTATGAGAGTGTGGGACGAATGTTAGAGCTATAGAGAAGGGTAACAGACGAGAGAAGGTGGGGGATTAAAATTTAACAGAGAGAAGTTTTAGAGAGGGGAGTCAAAGACGGTTTAAGTGAGAGAAATATGAATGTTGTCGTATGTCTAATACATTAAAGATATAACGGGAAATGATACATTTTGTGGTGACATACACACGCAATAGACGATCTTATCTTAAAAATCAGAAGAAATATTAGTGTTTAAGCCTTTTTTATATATATATATATATATATATATATATATATATATATATATATATAAATTATATATCATATATATTTATTATATATATATATTATATATATATATTATATATATATTATATTATATTATATATATATTATATGAAGAAAAATACAGAAAAAACAAACAAAAATCTTAATATGCAATTATGCTGTATTAATGTTAATATAAAGTCGACGTCGGACGTTTCGGTCTATTTAAGACCATTTTCATGGTCATTTTCATTTCAACATAATTAACATTATTGCAATAATTGTTAAATTGTTCCCAGTCGACCCTGATGAGCTTGGGAACGAAACCGGTTGGTCTTTTCTGTAAGTGTTATCATCTCTTATTTTTTATTTTTCATAATGCCTTTAGGAAATAATTTGTATCTATTCCTTGCAATACTACGGTTCTGTACCTCCAACAATTTATTATATATTATATATATTATATATGTATATTATATATATATATTATATATATATTTTATATATATATATATATATATATATATATATATATATATATATATATATATAGTTCTATTATAGCACTTATGCAGCAATTTTTATGAAAACCAGAACTCAATGTGCAATATTATATCTTGCTAATAGTCAGACATCCTCAATCAGAGACGTGTCAATAATTATTTTTTTTTCTCTCTCTCTCTCTCTTTCTCTCTCTCTCTCTCTATATATATATATATATATATATATATATAGAGAGAGAGAGAGAGAGAGATTTGAGCAGCAATTTTTTATTTATCAGTGTTTAGTTGAAGAACAATGAAAGATATTTTAGTTTTCCACTTTGTCACTTATTTGCCTAATATCTATCTATCTATCTATCCCCCCCTCTCTGTCTCTCTCTATATATATATATATATATATATATATATATATGTGTGTGTGTGTGTGTGTGTGTGTGTGCATTTATGTGTGTTTATCCGTATGTGTGCATTGTGTAATAAATTAAATACGGAAGCTATAAGAACAGGGGTCGATTTTTATATATATATATATATATATATATATATATATATAGATATAGATATAGATATAGATATTGATATAGATAGATAGAGAGAAAGAAAGAAAGAAAGAAAGAAAGGAAGAAAGAATATAATAATTGTCACTTCTCTGATTGATGATCTCTGACTTTATCAGCAATATTGCACATTGAATTTGGTATTTATAAAATATTGCTCGATGCATAATAGAAATATATATATATATATATATATATATATATATATATATATATATATATATACAGAGTCAATAACAGAAATATATATATATATATAAAAAACGATACCCAAATATGCCCACCTTTCTCACGACTTTAAGTTTGATGCGGACGCTTCGTTGACTGAAATAGTTATAACCAGATCGATAGATATAATGCGACAAGGGTGAGCTCCGGTTCGGAACTTGTGTGTTATTCCAGTGAACAGGAAACTTTGATCAAGGCGTAAATAAATGTCGCTAAAAACAGCTTTACGGATTTTTACAGTCGTACGGGTCGAAGAAATTTAGTGGCGCATTAAAAAATGTCACAAAGGATTTTAAGACCAAATGTAACCATTTCCGGTTGGTAATTTAATTGGCCAAAAAAAAAAAAATGATCATCACTGGTTTCAGAACTGGATACAGGCTGAATTCATGTACACACACACACACGCACAGAGTGATAGTGAGAAAGAGAAAGGTTTCCACATTTTTTTGATAAATAGATAGATAGATAGATCAATTTAGAAGTGATAGATAGACAGACAGATTGACAGATAGATAGATCAATTTAAAAGTGATAGATAGCTCAATTTAGAAGTGATAGACAGACAGACAGAGCGACAGATCAATTTAGAAGTGACAGATAGACAGACCGACAGATAGATAGATAGATAGATAGATAGATAGATCAATTTAGAAGTGACAGATAGATCCATTTAGAAGTGATAGACAGACAGATCGACAGACAGACAGTTCACTTTAGAAGTGATAGATAGATAGATAGGTCAATTTAGAAGTGATAGATAGGCAGACAGTCCGACAGATAGATGGATCAATTTAGAAGTGAAAGATAGATAGATATCAAGGGCAATTTAGATGTGATATATATAAACATTAAGCAATATAAATAAAGACACAGAAGACTCAATCTGTTGGGAGAGTCTTGCATTATTAGCAGTAATAGTCACTGTTTACAAATACGCGCGTTTTCCCCACAGTGCTCGACCGAATTTATTTTCGCACAGACTGTTTCACTGTATCACAGCTCCTCAATGTGGCTAGACATCTGATCGCTTCAAGCCAGGACCGAAACCCGACTGATTTGGTATCAGTCAGAGATTCTAACCCCTAAGCAGAGAGAAAGGTAAATTTTGGCGGATTTATTTTTTCATAAACATACCATTGACCTAGCGGACTCAATCCGTTGGGAAAGGCTTGTAATTATTACTATGAGTAAAAGTTTGCCACTCAGCTGATTGATGTTAACTTCAGCATCCCGACTCCAGAGTTTCAGAGATGGACATCTTCGTCCACTCTTCAGTGGGTATCAGCAATTTAATGCTTACAATTTTTCCTTTTTTTTTCTTTTTATGCATATTTAACAGTGGTATAAATTTTCTTCTGTATTCTCTATGTTTGTGCGTGAGCTTGTCCACGCACTAGCGTGCTCCCGTCTACACGAATGTGCGTCGTGATCATCTTGCCATTTTTCTTCGTCTGTAGCAGACTTAGACTGGTTTTAGTCCGGCTTTAGACATGTGACCTATTTTTATTTATGGGCATTTTATCTTTTTTTGCTAAGCAAGTTGCATTTTCTTTATTTACGTTTTTATATAAACAACTGGTATTAATGCTTAGGTAATAAATATATATATATATATATATATATATATATATATATAGGTATGACAAAAAATATACATATATATTCACATATACTTGCACGTACATATATATTTTTCTCATGCGTTATAAAAACAGTGCTTAATCAATGTTATACATCATGTCATACAATGTTATACATATTCACATAAAGCTCTGCGTCCTGCTATCGAGATGTAATTATATATATATATATATATATATATATATATATAATTAGAAAAATTATTAAGAACCATAATGCTAATATCTTAAATAAACACTTATACCAAAGCCAAAAATATTTAGACAATGGAAAAATAAAGATAAAAACTGATGAAAATAAACAAAAATTATGTAACTGTAGAAACCCTCATAATTGCCCTCTACAAAATAAATGTCGCACTGAATCAGTAGTATACCAATGCAATATCTCTTCGATTGAAAGTCCTGAAAACATAAATATATATATATAGGTTGCACTAGCCATGAGTTCAAAAAAAGATTCAACCAACATCAGAGTACATTTAGGATAAATAAATATAAAATCAAACATCTCTCTCAAAATACTTCTGGCACCTAAAAGAATCAAATAAAACACCTACAGTAAAATGGAAGTTAATAAGAAAAGCTAGAATATGTAGGTCATTAAATGACCCATGTCCTTTGTGCATACATGAGAAACTATATATTACTAAGTTTATAAAATTTAAAAATTTACTGAATCAGAGAAATGAAATAGCTATTTTATGCCGTCATTGTCAAAAATTTTCCTTAAATAATATCTAAAAATTTAAAAATAAAAATAAATTTAAAAAGGTGCGATCAGGTAATATACATACTTATATTTAATATGGAAAAATAATTTTATATACTGTAAGTAATTCTATTACATTTACTTGTTTTTTCTTTATCAAAAAAGTCTATTAAAATAACAGTGAAAATATTTTAAAGTTGTATTTAAAATTGTAGTTAAAACGAATTCTAACCGAAACATCTTTTAAAATTGTAGATAAATAAAATGTATTCTAACCTAAATTCCTCTCAAAAAGTACTACCGGCACTTAAAGGAATCCAATAAAACACCTACTGAAAAATGAAATTATAGCGAAAAGTTAGATGATGTAAGCCATTAAATGGCCCATGTCCTTTGTACATACATGTGAAACTATATATTACTAAATTTATATAAAAATAAATAAATAAAGTTTACTAAATCAGAGAAATGAATTAGCTATTTTTGCCGTAAGTGCCATAAATATTACTTAAATAATATTTAAATATAAAAGTTTAAAAATCGTAATATACATATACTTGATATGGAAAAATAATTTTAATTACTATAAGTAATTCTAATACATTTCCTTCTATTATGAAAATATTTTAAAGTTGTAATTAAAATTGTAGTTAAATAAAATGAATTCTAATCTAAACTTTTTTTAAAATTGTAATTAAATAAAATGTATTCTAACCTAAAGACCTCCCCCTTAGCACTACACGCACTTAAAAGAATCCAATAAAACACCTACAGTAAAATAAAATTAATATGAAATGTCAGAAGATGTAAGCTTTTGAATGACCCATGTCCTTTGTACTTACATGAGAAACAATATATTACTATGTTTATATAAAAAATAAAAGTTTACTAAATCAGTGAAATTAAGTAGCTATTTTTGCCGTCATTGTCATGAATTTTACTTAAATAATATTTAAATAGAAAAAAAAATTGTAACCTAACGGTCACCTGCGTAAATGCGAAGCTCTTCAGTAAAATGAATGGAGCACTTTGGCTGCTTGACTTTTCTTTACGTTTGTAAAAAACAAAAAAAAAACAAAAAAAACAAAAAAGCATACTTATACTTGATGTAAAAATAATTCGACATACTATAAGGGATTCTTATACATTTAATTGTTCTTTAAAAAGATATATATATAGTATATTAAAAATTAAAATATTTAAAATCGTAGTTAAATAAAACGTATTCTAACCTAAACACCCCCGCAAAATCTTTAAATATACAAATAGAAAAAATGCCGTAAGAATTTTTGCCGTTAACAATAAATTTTAAAAAATCCAGACGACATGCATTCAATGGATGTCAGATTTCATTGAAAAATACACCCCTACCCCCTGCAAAACGTAACTAATAACGGATACATCAATAACAGACATAATGAATACGCAGACACCCCTTGTCTAGCTGAAGTAGATTTATCTGTAACCTTGGAAACGTGACTTATGATTTTAGCTGTGTCTTTAAAACCCAGTAATTTTAAAAGTTACTCGAAAATTCGTTTGAGGATGAAATGGAACTAATGTCTTTAATTTAATTACAAAATTAAATTCGTAGCATTTAGCTTTCATTTTTGAAACATGGTTAGAACTGTGTAGCGAAAAAAAAACATATTTTAAATAAATCAATGTATAATATTAATGCTCTGTAAATTTACATTGAGCACTATTTTGTAAAAATAAAAATATCTATAAGAACACCGGATTATATATCTTACTGTTCTTTCTTTTATATATATATATATATATATATATATATATATATATATATATATATATATATAAGCTCTTTAAAATATATTTTCAATTGAGGACTGTTGAGCGACAAGCTAATTCTAAAAACAACGGTCACCTGCGTAAATGCGAAGCTCTTCAGTAAAATGAATGGAGCACTTCGGCTGCTTGACTTTTCTTTACGTTTGTAAAAAACAAAAAAAAACAAAAAAACAAAAACAAAAAAGCAATTCACTAGATTTGGCAGTTACGTTCTGTCGCGTGAAGATGGCTCAGTGGTAGAATCTCTGACTGACAACAAATCGGTTGGGTTTCCATCCGGGCTTGAGGCATTCGGTTGTTTAGCCGCACTGAGGAGCTGTGTTATAGCGAAACAGTACGGTCTGCGAATGACATAATATATGTGTGTATGTATATATGCATAGGGAAGAGGTTGTAGTTGTTCCAACGAAAGAAAAGTTTATATTTAATAAAAATGAAAAGATAAACCGCAAACGTTTTTGGTTGAAATGTGGATTTTTTTTAATTTTAGAATATATATTATATTCTATTTTCCATAATTCTGCTACACGTGTTTCTGGTTTCACGACCTTCTTCAGACAAAGATTAGATATTTACAAATATTATAAAAATGAATTTTTTGCTTGGTAATGATTAAAAAAAATGATAATATATTTATTTATAGTGTATTTATATACTGTATTGAGGCAGTTGATCATTATTCAAATATATATTTTTAAATATAACAGACAACTAATGTCTATTATGTTTGATCATGAGCCGTTCTAAGCTTCGTATAGATGCTTTAACTTGAGACGGAAATAAAGACAAAAATTGTGCAACATCTTTGATGGTGAATATCTTTGTTTTTTCCACGATGCACACATAAAATATTAATAGCATCCCATAACATATTTCCAACCTACATATGCAATTTCTTAAAGTCATCAAGAGAAGAAAATGGTTGGAAAAGCTGACCATTAAAAAAGCCAAAAATGCTGAACTCCACTTCCACACGTACAACGTTTTAACAAAGCCGGAAATAGCTTGACGACAACAAACGATAAAACAAATAAGTGACAAACAAAACAACAAACTGAGACAAGAAATTCAGCACCCTATGTGGTAACACCAAGTGGAAATATGTTGGAAGACGAGATCTAATAATCTAACTCTATCGGATATAAAGTTATCCAATACCGAACGGGAAGCCCTCAGCTTTGTTTTAAAATTTGCTACCTGAATTTGTAAACGAGATCTAGAAGACAATATATAAAAAAAAATCATAAACAAAATGATACTGAATTTACCAAAGGTTTCATTCAAGGCATAATCACTGCTACTATAGAAGCCTACAACGAAAATACATAATCACAGAGGCACCTAAACGTAACCTAACAAAAGATAAAAACATCCACATCACACTCTCTAACAAAGGAAGTAGGATTGTGATCATAAACAAGAATATATACGTAGAAAAATTAATTCCCTACTCAACGGTACGAAATAATAAATGAACAGAAAATAATTACTGAAACGTAAATATAT